ATGCCTTTTTGACAGCTATAACTTGCAATTGCTAGATTTTTGATGCGTAGTGCTACTGTTTGAATGTCAAATTCTTACAATATCCCTTGGTTGATGACATGAGAGAGATGTATTCTATTTGTTTGTTAAACTGGTACATACTAGACTACTCTGTGGTTCCTTTTTTGACATTGCAGTTCAAAGAGGTCAAGAGATATTGTTACTCTGATGGGTCTTTCATTTTGGTTGTTGCTGCTTTGGATGAAAACTGATACATATACATCTACGGAATGTTAATGTTGGCTCTGAAAACTTTATGCCCATTTTTTTGTTACCCAAATTCGTGCAAATTTGGTGCTTAAATGAATCCCTTCCTTTTCTCTAACCGCATGTAGGCTAGATTGTTTGATGTACATGAGTTTCAACTGATATTTTGTTAGGGGTATCTTCTTTTTCTTTTGCTTTTTTGCCCTCTGGAATTAGAACTTTGAGCAAATAGATTAAGATGAAAATAATTTTTTGCAACTTCTTTTGAACATACAATTAGGTTCTTTTGATGCTTACTGTTTTTAAACTGGTTGGAGATTATTTTGGGAGGAAAAGAGAGATATGCTTCATTCAAACCTGCATTGATCTATGTGAAAGCTTAAAGAAACTCCCTGATACGAGACTAATTATACGTCTAAAAGCATGTTTAATTTACCTCTTTCTTAGTTGCAATTGTGATGTTTAGTTAGGAATTAGATGTTTCTAATTAGATTTTATGACTTTTAGTGATGAAGGGGCCTAATTACAAATATAGATAAAAAGTGAAAAAATTAGTGCAAATTTGCAAAATTTTAGGCAGCAATCAAAAAATAGTCCAATTGGACTTGTGTTGCAAACTCGGGAAGAAGAAGGAACCAGCAGCAACAACAACGCATGGATGATGGATAGAGGCAATTTTGGAGGCTTAGAAGTTAAGGAAGTTTGAAATCAATCAAGCCTCCAAGGCTAAGAAAGACAAGGAACCATGGAGATGATGAGAAATTGCTGATTTGGGCTGCAAAAGAAGGATTAGATGGCCGCAAAATCAGAGTCAAAGACAACGGTGAAGGTGAGGAAGGTATGGGTCTCCTCACTTTAGTCTTAATCCAATGGACAAAGAGGAGATCAACCTCATTAAGCAAACTTACCTTCTCTACCATCTATAAAAGGAAGAAGAGCAGCAGCAGCAAGGGACATCGAGGGGAGAGACCAGACTGCGAGAGTGAGAGATACCCATAGATAGAGTCACAACAGAGAGAGAAGTAAAGGAGCAGTAGGCAACAGCTACGGGTGGCTACTCGGGGAAGTGAAGAAGTCACTTGCCCAAGTAGCCAGCCTTCAGCAGCAGTAGCAGATTCTCCCTTCTCCTGTTTTCTTTCTTGTGTATTTTTCTTGTTTGTAATCATGTCTTTGGCTATGTGGATCGTTGTTATATCCATTATAATCAAGAACATCAGTAGCTAAACTGTTTATAGGGTTTTAATTCCTTGAATCTCTCTATTAATTATAAATGGTTGTACTCGGGATGATATTTGTATGCTTAGTACCAGAGTTTTAATTATTCTTTTGATTAGAATGAGTAACTATCCTTTTGATTAGAATGAGTAACTAGTCAATTGAGCATGCATGTGGGGGGAATTCCTGCTGGGTAAGATTAATTTAGAATGTCTAGTATTAGTCGGTGAGGAGGAGGTAACAGCCCAAGGTTTTAAACAACAATGGAAATTAGTTGTTTGGCATGAGGTAATCATAAGGGCTTAGGAAATTAATCGCTTAGTAGTTTTTTGGAGTCAACAACGAAAGTTAGTGGGCTTGTTGCTGCTAGGACTCTGTCTGGAATATCGTAAGTGACATTACAGTTTAATTATGCCTGATTGAACATAGTTTCATATTACAAAAGTAGCAACCAGAATAAGAAGCTAGAGACGGGATAGTGGAGTGGAAACCCCAGAACACTTAACTAAGTCAGTTTCTCAGTTTCGTAAGTCGTCTGTCTTTTTTGTTTCTCTGTTATCTTCTTGTTTTTGTTGAATCATTTGGGGTTATTTGAATTTCTCTTTATCTCTGTGGGATCGACCAAACTTACCACTATCTACAGTTTTAAATTATTTTTATTTTAGTGGATTCGACACCCATCACTCCTCCCAACCCACACCCCTCCCTACCTCAAAGAAAAAATATTTTATTTATATCCAATATTGAATCATCGACGTTGAACTCAAACTCAAGTTTCAATATGTAAATAGAAGAAGGAAAAATAAATGAAGGAGTCTATGGCCGCCGCTACTCACAAAATATTCTTCCTCAAGATAATTATCTTTTTGTTCAAACTTCTTTCTCTCCAATAATAGTACTTGTATCCATAAGTACAAATTTCAGAATTCTATGTGCATTATATTTTGGGACAAAACAAATAATTTATTTTCAAATTCTTTTGAACAATACTCTTGTGTCATTTACTATATATGTAAAAAGAAATAATATAAATGTGAAAAATAGTACTAGTAATTGTAAATCTTGTGTGTGTTATAATTTTCGAGCCTTAGAACCATAAATAAAAATAAGTTGTCAAAAATAATCTCTGTTTGTAGGGTGGAGAAGCTAACAAGTAACTAACATTCAAAAAACATGGACTAAAATTGTAGAGAAGTTGATATATATAATGTATCCATTGTTTATGTAAGACTAGTTGGTCCCAAGTAAAATGAACTTTGTGACCGTGTCAAATGTGGACTGGATAAATACATATAGTTCAAGTAAAATTTGAGATTGAAAGCATTAGAGCTTGTTGTGATGAAAGTAAAAATTTGGAAAAAGAAAATTTAAAGTTATCCGTTTGAGAGCAAGGTAAATTTGTGAAAACAAACATGCTTGGAAAAAATAGCTGAAGAAGGAAAAATTTTATATGCCACTTGTGTTTGGCAAATTATATCATGGACCAGGGCTCATATTTGCCTTGAGATCATAAGGAGGAAATGTATCACACTTGTGCTTAAAAAGTGTGTGAGGGAGAATTTATAACTTTTTTTTTTATGATAATTATCTATTCAATTATCCAATTTTAATTTTTAAAACATTTTCTTAAAAACTACCTTTCCTAATCCTATTACAACCCCCTATCTTCACTTCTCTGTTACACGAATATCATGAATTTGATTAAATATTTAACTATTTTTTTTATTTAATGAAATATTTTGAAATCTAGGCTAATTAATTAAATGTGTTCTTTCAAGTTTTATCACTCCTTAAAATGTATGAACTTTGAAGTATTTCAATATGAACTTGACATGATTTTTTTGTGAAAGTTTTGACATTAATATATATATATATATCTATATATATCTATAGTGCTTAATTAAAGTAGCAAACAAAAAGGATATGTGTCAGCAGTACAATAAAAATTTTCTCGCCAAAAGCCATTTTCAGTACAAAATCATTTTTGACAAGTGGCAGTCTAACTAATCAGATAAAAAAGATGGAATAGATAAATACATAAATCCCTTAATTATAGCTACATAAAAATCTCTTAATTATAGGTATATACTAATCTTTTAAAACAACAATACTTAATTAATAAAATCAAATGGAAGGAAATCCCCTTAAATCAAGTGAAACACAATAATATCTTCACAATCCCAAATTTCAAAGAATCTCTTTCATTCCACTCCTCTCTCACACCCGGGCCTTTAAATCAATTACTTAAAATCTGACATCAATTATCAATCCATCACTTTCTACAACAGAGACAAAATAAGCTGTCATGAAAGAAATTTGATTTTTTAAGGATGATTTTTTTTATTATTCTTCTGTTGTAGATATTGGTTTATGATTTACGTAAACTCGGGCATAAGTTAACTGTTGCAAATTAAATATTATAAATTTGGGCATAGATTTATGTATAATAACTCACTTTTTGTCCTTTCAATCGATTTTTTATTCTTCTATTTTTTTTTATTCTTTTAAGAATGATTCGTATTTTTTATTTAATCGATTTAAAAATACAGGTGATTTGACATTCGTCCTGCAAAAGCATCTAGTGTGTATATATATATATATATATATATATATATATATATATATATATATTTATATGTACATAAAGTGAACATTAAGGGGGCTATTTTTCTTTTCACTCAATAAATTTTTTATTTTATTTTATTGTTCTGAAACGGTAATAAATAAATTTTAGTTAAACGGAGACTTTTATCATATTTCTCGAAGCTCAAAAGTCATCAAAAACCATATATCAGTATCCACTCTTCAGTGGTCGTTAATCTTGCTTTCGGTTCGAATTCAATCTTCGTTTTCTGCAGCTTAAATCAGCCTCCCCTTTCGAATATTCAGAGCAGGATCCAGGAAAATCGAATTGAGAGAGGGAAGGGAATCAAGTTAGGGGAAGTCGAGGGAGAAGGAACGAGCGAAATTTGGGGCGAATTTTCGGAGCTCCTTCTGTTAATCCCGAAGAAGTAAGTATCTAGCAAGTCTTAATTATGATATGGTTAATTTAAAGCTGTTGTTTTGGGGGGGAAAAATCTGAACATTTAATCCGGATGAAGCTGATGGTGGTGCCGGTTGTAGTTTTTGGATGTTTTAGTTGATTGAGAACGAACATTTGGGATTAGAAACGTAGACTTATGTGCTTGCATGTTTATCGGATTTAGAATTGTAATTTGCTTTTAGCGATTTTACACTAGTGTTTTTATAAGGAATCACAAGGTTTCTTACTGTTGATGTGAGATCAGGATATGGGCGGATATTTGTTTTAATCAAGTGTTAGGATAGGTTTACCGTTTACCTCTGCTTGAACTCGAAAGGTCTGCGGAGGTTTTATGCAGCTAATCATGAATGTTTTTTCAAAAATGTAACTTTTCGGATTTTAAGACTGCCAACACCCTATAGGGAAGATTGGGGAAGAATTCTGCTCCTTTTGTTTAAGTGGATCATCTTTGATAGTTTCTTTACAGTATTGTCTACTTTGTTTGCAGTCATTGGCCATGGGGAGCACAAGTGCAGAAAAACTTAGGTTTTGTATAGACAGAGGTGGCACATTCACTGATGTATATGCCGAAATTCCTGGGTGCCCTGAAGCTCGGGTTATGAAATTGTTATCAGTTGATCCTTCTAACTACGATGATGCTCCAGTTGAAGGGATTAGGAGGATCCTGGAGGAGTTTACTGGTGACATAATTTCTCGTAGCTCAAAAGTTCCAACAGATAAGATAGAGTGGATAAGAATGGGAACAACCGTTGCAACAAATGCATTGTTGGAGAGGAAAGGGGAAAGGATTGCATTGTGTGTGACTAAGGGATTTCGGGATCTGCTGCAAATTGGCAACCAGGCACGGCCCAATATCTTTGACCTCACTGTGTCAAAACCTTCAAATCTTTATGAGGAGGTTATTGAGGTTGATGAAAGGGTTGAGCTTGTGGCTGATGGTGAGAAACTGGACAATGATTCTTCTGGGTCTATAATTAAAGGCATCTCAGGTGATCTGGTCAGGGTCATAAAGCCTGTCGATGAGGAAAAGCTTAAGCCTTTGCTCAAAGGTTTGATGGCCAAAGGTATTAATTGCTTAGCTGTTGTCCTAATGCATTCATATACTTTCCCAGACCACGAAATTTCTGTTGAGCGGTTAGCTCTACAGTTGGGGTTCCGTCATGTTTCTTTGTCATCCGCTTTAACTCCTATGGTTCGAGCAGTTCCTCGGGGTCTAACTGCAAGTGTGGATGCGTACCTTACTCCAGTTATTAAAGAATATTTATCTGGATTTATGTCCAAATTTGATGAGGGGCTGGGGAAGAAGTTAAATGTTCTGTTCATGCAGTCAGATGGTGGACTTGCACCTGAAAGCAGATTTTCAGGCCACAAAGCACTGTTGTCAGGGCCTGCTGGAGGGGTAGTTGGCTACACACAAACTCTTCATGGGCTTGAAACAGACAAGCCCCTCATTGGTTTTGACATGGGAGGTACATCGACGGATGTAAGCCGATACGCGGGCACTTATGAACAAGTCATAGAGACCCAGATTGCTGGAGCAATTATCCAAGCACCTCAGCTTGACATAAACACTGTTGCTGCTGGGGGTGGTTCTAAATTGAAATTTCAGTTTGGAGCTTTCAGAGTGGGACCAGAATCTGTCGGTGCACATCCAGGACCAGTCTGTTATAGGAAAGGTGGAGAGTTGGCAGTAACTGATGCAAATCTTATCTTGGGGTATGTGATTCCAGATTACTTCCCATCAATCTTTGGTCCTAACGAGAACCTTCCTTTAGATATTGACGCGACTAGAGCTGAATTTGAGAAACTTGCGAAACAAATTAATTCATACCGGAAGAACCAGGATCTGTCAGCAAAGGATATGACAGTGGAGGAGATTGCACATGGTTTTGTGAAAGTTGCCAATGAAACCATGTGCCGTCCAATACGGCAGTTGACTGAGATGAAGGGTCATGAAACAAGTAATCATGCTCTTGCTTGTTTTGGAGGAGCTGGACCACAACATGCCTGTGCAATTGCTAGATCATTGGGTATGAAGGAGGTTTTTATTCACCGGTATTGTGGTATATTGAGTGCTTATGGGATGGGGTTGGCAGATGTCGTCGAGGAGGCACAGGAGCCATATTCTGCTGTTTATGGTCCTGAGTCTCTGATTGAGGTCCCCATCAGAGAAGAAAATTTGATGAAGCAGGTAAGGCACAAGTTGCAAGAGCAAGGATTCAGGGAGGGTAATATCAGAACAGAAGTATATCTGAATTTAAGGTATGAAGGGACAGATACTGCCATCATGGTAAAGAGTCCTATCAATGAAGATGGATCGAAAGGAGACTATGCTGTTGAATTTGTGAAACTATTCCAACAAGAATACGGTTTCAAACTTCAAAATAGAAATATCCTCATTTGTGATGTTAGGGTTCGTGGTATTGGTGTCACTAATATACTGAAGCCGAAGGCATTAGAATCTATCTCAGATGACCCTAGATCTGTAGATCATTACAAAGTTTACTTTAACAATGGGTGGTCGGACACACCTTTGTTCAAGCTTGAGAATCTAGGCTATGGCCATGTAATATCTGGCCCTGCAATAATTATGAATGGAAATAGCACTGTGATTGTGGAGCCCAAGTGCAGAGCACTTATTACAAAGTATGGAAATATCAAAATCGAAATTGAATCAACTTTAACAGGTGCTAAAGCAGCAGGAAAAGTTGCAGATGTTGTGCAGCTGTCAATTTTCAATAACAGGTTTATGGGGATAGCTGAGCAGATGGGACGCACGCTCCAAAGAACTTCGATTTCAACAAACATCAAAGAGCGCTTAGATTTCTCATGTGCTCTTTTTGGTCCTAATGGTGGTCTTGTTGCAAATGCCCCTCATGTCCCTGTGCATCTGGGAGCTATGTCTAGCAGTGTTCGTTGGCAGTTGAAGCACTGGGGCAATAACTTACATGAAGGAGATGTTCTGGTTACTAATCATCCTTCAGCAGGTGGTAGCCACCTTCCTGATATCACCGTAATTACCCCCGTCTTTAATAAGGAAAAATTGGTATTCTTTGTGGCAAGTAGAGGGCATCATGCTGAGATTGGAGGCATAACTCCTGGAAGTATGCCCCCATTTTCCAAGGCAATATGGGAAGAAGGAGCTGCGATAAAGGGATTCAAGCTTGTGGAGAAAGGTGTTTTCCAGGAAGAAGGAATCACTAAACTTCTCAAGTTCCCCAGCTCTGATAATACTGTTTATAACATTCCTGGAACTCGAAGGCTTCAAGATAATCTATCGGATCTGCATGCACAAGTAGCTGCAAATCAAAGGGGAATATCTTTAATTAAGGAGCTTATTGAGCAGTATGGCTTGGAGACTGTGCAGGCTTATATGAGTTATGTGCAGGATAATGCAGAGGAAGCAGTGAGGGAAATGCTCAAGGATGTTGCATCCAGAGTTATCTCTAAGTCAACCGGGGAAGGCCATTCAGTAACTATTGAAGAAGAAGATTATATGGATGATGGGTCTGTTATACATTTAAAACTGACAATCGATGGTGAGAAAGGAGAAGCGTTTTTTGATTTTTCCGGGACCAGCCCAGAAGTATATGGAAATTGGAATGCCCCAGAAGCAGTCACTGCAGCAGCAGTCATTTACTGTCTGCGCTGTTTAGTGAATGTGGATATTCCTCTTAATCAAGGTTGCTTGGCCCCTGTGAAGATATATATCCCTCCTGGCTCTTTTCTCTCTCCAAGTGATAAAGCTGCTGTTGTGGGTGGCAATGTTCTCACATCTCAACGGGTTACTGATGTAATACTGACTGCATTTCAAGCTTGTGCTTGTTCTCAAGGTTGCATGAATAACTTGACCTTTGGGGACGACACTTTTGGTTACTATGAGACTATCGGGGGTGGAAGTGGAGCTGGCCCTAGCTGGGATGGGACAAGTGGAGTTCAGTGTCACATGACAAATACTCGTATGACTGATCCCGAGATTTTTGAGCAGAGGTATCCTGTTTTCTTGCACTGTTTTGCATTAAGGGAGAACAGTGGAGGTGCTGGATATCACAGAGGAGGTGATGGTCTCATAAGGGAGATTGAATTTAGAAAACCTGTGGTTGTAAGTATCCTCTCAGAAAGGCGTGTGCATGCCCCAAGGGGATTAAAGGGAGGAAAAGACGGGTCTCGTGGTGCTAATTTTCTCATTACGAAAGACAAACGGACGATATATCTTGGAGGTAAGAACACAGTTGAGGTGCAGGCTGGTGAAATTCTTCAAATTTTAACTCCAGGTGGTGGTGGGTGGGGTTCAGTTTGATCCACCATTGCAACTACTTCTGTGAACAGAAAATTGCTTTGTTTTTTCACCCAAAAAAAAAAAAACATGGCTTTGCTGTACTTGTTCAGACACATCATACTTGAAATTTCCCTTTCCATTGCAATCTGAACAAAAGTTTTGGTGACGAGGAGTGGGGTATCTTCGAAAAAAGATTCCGAATCTTCTGGTCATGCGCCCTTGAATCCTACTGAGACATTCTTTTGTAATTACTCATGTTTTCATTTTGTGTTTCATGAATAATTTTTCGAAAAGATACCTTCCTGCATTAAGTTGTACTTAAAGAGCTTGTGAGGAAGGGTTTAGAATGGAAGTGGAGTTGCATTAATATTAGGCCTGAAATGATATGAACACTTCCAGCACATTTGTAAACTCACACCTGATTACAATCATCCTAAGTTTTTAACTATAATTATCATGTTATTAGAAGATTACATATTATCGTTGACCATGAGTATCACTGAAGAAAAGAAGTACAGCTACTCATCAACACGACTTGATGAAACCACTTAACACAAGAATCAACATTTACAAAACCATCACCATTATCATCAACATTTGATAAGCAAATTTCTAAACTTATCACCCAGAGTCCAATTGGTTCTGAGACTTTCATTGTCTGAGATTCACTTCCATATTTTGTCCTGAAAATTTCTTCCGGACCAAGTTCCCCCTAAATCCAGATGATTAGGATTAGCTTCATTCCTTTTGAGGATTAGTTGCTTCTATCATGGAAGTGTATATTCTAACAGTTGACTTCTGGAGCAACCTTTTACATATCTGCTGGCAGTTTCTGTTGGGAAAACTTTGGATTGGTTGTGTTAGGCCATATGTAGTCAAATTTCTCAGACCACCAAAGACCAAACTCTCTGCAGGAGGATACACCAACTTCACCAATATGGGAGGACTTCTATGAGGTTAGATCAACTTCCTTTGAGAATTTTTTTTTTTTTTTCCTTACCCTTTTCATTGATTTTAAATCCCCATTTATACTTGCAGATGCAAAAGAGAAACAAAGCTTCAAACTGAAAGTAAGATGGCATTATGCTTTCAACCAAATGGAGCAAACCTGGAAGAAGATTCAGCAATACTTTTCTCCAATTCTTCTGACTCTCCAGGAGAATCCACCTCTGATTCTTCTTCTTCTTCTCATCGTTCATCACCAGCTAATCCATCCAGTACTGCTAATCTAGCCTATGAACTAAGCACCAGAAATCTTTCCTACACTATTAACAAACAGGGATGGAGCTCCTTCTTGTGGAGCAGCATGAGCAGAAAGAAGAACCAAGTTGAAATATTGAAATCGGTCTCTTTCACTGCCAAAAGTTCTGAAGTGTTGGCGATAGTTGGCCCAAGTGGAACTGGCAAGTCTTCTCTCTTGCAAGTTATTTCAGGCAGGGTGAAAGACAAAGATTTTCGGCCCAAGAGTGTGTTTCTCAATGACCATTCCATAGGTAGTCCTGCTCAGCTGAGGAAAATTTGCGGGTTTGTAGCGCAGGATGATGATCTACTTCCCTTGTTGACAGTGAAGGAAACGCTGATGTTCAGTGCAAAATTCCGGCTTAGAGAACTTACAGCAAGAGAAAGGGAAAAGAGGGTTGATCAATTGATGAATGAGCTCGGCCTCGTTCATGTTACTGATGGATTTGTTGGCGATGAAGAGAACCGGGGAATTTCTGGCGGGGAAAGGAAAAGAGTCTCAATTGGAGTTGAAATGATTAATGATCCACCAATATTGTTGCTGGATGAACCCACTTCTGGCCTGGATAGCAATTCTGCACTTCAAGTTATGGAGTTGCTTTCCTTCATGGCGAAATCAAGGCAGAGAACCATAGTGCTTTCAATCCACCAACCAAGTTATACAATGTTTGAGCACATATCAAAATTCTTGATCCTTTCTTCTGGCTCAGTTGTCCATAACGGTTCCATAATAATGCTTGAGGAGACGATAAGTAAATTGGGATTTCAGATTCCTGTACAGATTAACGCACTTGAGTTTTCAATGGAAATTATGGATGCACTGAAAGAATCATATTCTGAGAATCAAGATCATTTCTTTTTGCTGGATCACAAGGTGCCAATTAGTCAAGTTCAGGCTGATGGTCCACTTAATCACAATGGAAAAAAAGAAGGCAGTCGGTTTTTCAGACACATGTATGAGATCATGGTTCTTTGCACAAGATTCTTAAAGATAATTTACAGAACGAAACAGCTACTCTTTGCGAGAACAATGCAGGCTCTAGTTGGTGGATTTGGACTGGGATCTGTTTATCTAAAAGTAAGGAGCGACGAAGGAGGAGTCGCGGAAAGGTTAGGCTTATTTGCATTCAGTCTTAGCTTCCTTCTTTCTTCAACAGTTGAAGCACTTCCAATATACCTTCAAGAACGGCGAGTTCTAATGAAAGAAGCTTCAAGGGGGGCTTACAAAGTTTCTTCATACATGATTGCCAACACATTAGTCTTCCTTCCATTTCTTTTCGTGGTTTCTGTTCTGTTTGCTGTTCCTGTCTACTGGCTTGTAGGGCTCAATCCTTCCGTTCTCGCGTTCGCGATCTTCTTACTCGTGGTTTGGCTAATAGTCCTAATGGCCAGCTCCATGGTCATGTTCCTGAGTGCCATTTCACCAGACTTCATCTCAGGGAACTCTTTGATTTGCACAGTTCTTGGTGCATTCTTCTTGTTCTCTGGCTACTTCATCCCGAAGGAATGCATACCAAAATACTGGATCTTCATGTACTATGTTTCCCTGTACAGATATCCATTAGATTGCCTTCTCACCAATGAATATTGGAGCCAGAGAAATGAATGTTTTTCATGGAGTAGTACACAAAAAGGGTATACACAGACACAGTGCTTGCTCACAGGAAATGATGTCTTGCAGTCTAGAGGACTTGATAGAGACACAAGGGGTATTAACTTTGGAATCATGTTTTGCTTCTTTGTTTTCTATCGGATTCTCTGTTGGCTCATTCTTTCTAGGAGGGTTTCAAAGACAATAATTTGAGGAATGATTATTACTCCGTCTATCCTATAAAATAATAGTATAGTTTATTTTAGCTCAACAAATATGATTCATTTTTTCGACGAGAGTATGGAATAGTTTGTGTAATTGGATATATTGAGTTAAAAGAATTTTTTTAAAAAAAATTAAGATTAAGAGTATTCTCACTTTAAGTTATTGTTTAAAAAAAAAAGAAAAAAAAAGAAAAAACAACTTGTAGAAAGATTCAAAGCTTTTTTTTTTTTTTTTCCCCGAAAAAGTTGCAACCAAAATTACATCATTGTCCACTTCCTATACTATTTACATCCTGTCTATACATTGAATGCCTAATCTGCTTAAGTACTTAATATCCAAAATCTTCAGTTTCCTGCATGTATGCAACACTCTATTTTAGTTCATGTTTTATGCATTTAACTCTCATTGCAACAGTTGTGCATTCTAATTTAAACCGTCTTGCATTCCTCTGAATCCATACATTGTATACACAAGCTATCACAGCAAGTGACGGAACTAGCATTTCATCTTAGGGGTGCGAAATGAAATTATTAGAACAAATATAATAAATGTCAAAAAAATATTAAATATTAAAAATAACCAAAATATCATTTTTCTCATTGAAATAACTTGTATATTACAATTAAAAATCATATTACTAAAGAATACAACTTTATTTTTACGAGATATGTTACTCAAATTTTAAAAATAAAAAATATCATGTACCGTCAAGGTGATATAAAAATTTACTTTATTTTAGATTAATATTTAGAGTTCATTTCAAACATAATAGTCAAACATTAATATTAATAATGTTAACAAAATTATATTTACGAATACATATGTATTTAGTCATTAATGGGACAATGTAGAATAAATTTAAAAATTGACAAATTTTTAGCTCATTGTAATTAGCATTGGCCAGCATGTAAGCAAAAAAATAGCTCAACATAGTTTTATTTCAAGGAGGAAAAAAAGAAAGTTAGGCCAACTGGCCAATTTATAAATTGAGATCGGGTTAATTTTAGTTTTTTCATTTAGGTTTGATTTTAAGTACACGTTTTTGCTTCTAATAAATTTTTTTACGAAGAAACCCAATTTAATTAAAGTGACTATCATCTTCTTCTTGGTTTTTTCTTTTCTTTTTTTTTGACATAAACTTCTTGGTTGTTTAAAAACTAAAACAAAAAAAAAAAAATAAAGAAGTACAGTAGAACTTCTATAAATTAATAGTGTTGGGACCAACAAAATTTATTATTTTAGAGAATTATTAAATAATTGAAAAATTAGTAAATTATTAATTTAAATAATTTCTATAAGAAACAAGAACCGTCACTAGATTACATTATTTTCAATTATTTTTACATTCGAATTAATCAAATATTAAAAACTCTTTTGATACTTGCTTATCCATACATAATTCATATCATTTCTGGTGATTAAAAAACAAATATCAATAATTTATATTGTACTAAATATTTGTAGTTATTATTAGTATTTTCTTTTGCTTTTTTTTTTGGGTAAAAGTTGTAAATTTCATATAAATGATAAACTTGAAGTACAAGGTCCTACCAAAATTTCTATATTTACATAAAAACGAAACACCCCATTTGATCACTCAAGATTGCATCAAACTGTAGAGGATTAGTCTTTCTGCTTCTGTCAATTTGTTGCCTTTGGACTGTTGAACCCTGATTTTTATCACTTCTTGAAGTTCTTTGAAGATAGCTTCCACATTTCCCTTTTGATCCCTGAAGATTCTACAGTTTCTTTCCTCCCAAATGATATACATACAAGCCACCAGTGCAGCATACAGGATGCGTTTTCTGAGCCTAGTCTTCTTCCAAACGTACAATATCTCCTTTTTCCATCTCCTCATGTCAGCTGCTAACTTCCAAATCCCCAACCAACTCTTCATTTTGCCAAAAAGATCACTTGAGAAGGGGCATAGGAAGAACAAGTGTTCTATATTCCTTCTGCCCTTGTACATAAACAACAAGTTTCGTCCTGAACAGAGACATTGTGCTGCATTAATCTATCCATAGTCCATACTTTCCCTTTCCAAATCAACCAAGCCATGAATGCATGCTTAGGCTTCTTTCTTGACCAAATCACATCTGCTTCAGGCTTCTTCAGTCTTTTTCCCTGTAGCCATTTATACCCTGAACTTACAGTATATACACCTTTCCTATTCCCCTTCCATTTTCCATCTATAAAACTCTCTCTTGCTTTATCTCTCATTTCGAGGATTTGCTTCCACGACCAACTGCTATTAGGCTTGGACTGTATCTCTCAGAAATTGGTCATGTGTCCACTTTAACCATAGTCTGTCTTTTTCACTTGCTAACCACCATACCTATTTCAGAATTGCCGCTTCATAGCATTTCGAATACTCAATCCCCCTCAGATTTGCTATACATACATTATCCCATCCTACCAATGCATAGTATCTGCCTGATTTCTTAACTCCCCATAGGAATTCTCTACATTTACTGTTGACAGCTTCATTAATGCTGCGAGGAAATATAAAAGCTGACGACCAATAGACATGCATACTCATTAGTACCGAATTGATTAATTGTAATCTGCCTGCATATGATAGGTGGCGAGTACTCCAGCATTTCAGTCTCTTAGTTATTTTATCTACCAACACTTAGCATTCCATTTGACTCCATTTTTTGGGGGATAAAGGAACTCCTAGATACTTCATTGTGAATTGGCCTTCTCTAATTCTCTTCCTGTCCCCCCCCCCCCCTCCCCTCCCCCCATATAGATTTCTAACTTCAAGGGATTGGCTTTCATGCCAGATACACTAGAGAATTCAGCTGAGGCATTCTGTATGTACTCTACTGTCACCAATTCAACTGCACTGAATATCATCAGATCATCGCAAACCAAATGTTAGACAGCCTAAGAGTTTTGCATAAAGGGTAAAATTGAAATCCAAGTAGAGTAACAGCTTCTCTAAAGAGTCTAGTCGAGTATTCCATCAGGAGGACAAACAAGAGAGGGGAGATAGGAGACAAGCCTCTCTGTCCTTTAAAGAATCCTACGTGTGAGCCATTAATACTAAGGGAAAATGTTGTTGTCTTAACACACTCCATAATCCACTCTGTCCATTTCCTAGGAAAACCATATCCTTGCAGGCATTCTTCTAAAAACCCCCCATTCAACATAGTCATACGCTTTCTGTAAATCGATTTTTAACATACATTTTCCACTGATACCCTTCCTTTGATGCAGTCTAATCAGCTCTTGAGTGATCAAAATATTATGTAAGATTAATCTACTCTCAACAAAATCTCCCTGATTACTATCTATCAAATCAGGCAACACTACTTTTAATCTATTACATAGCACTTTAGAAATGATCTTATAAAACACGTTACAACAAGCTATTGGTCTATACTGCCCTGCATTACAAGCATTTTCACTTTTCGAAATTATCGCAAGAACAGTAGCGCTTAGTTGTTTTAGTAACATACCATTTTCGAAGAATTCCAGCACTACATTTGTTGTATCTTCCCTTGTGATCTTTCAGGTAGCTTTGAAGAAGTCACTCCCATATCCATTAGGGCCAGGGCTCTTTGTGCTATTGATGCTCCACAAGGCCTTTTTGACTTCTTCTCTGGTGACTGGCATGATCAGTTGCATTTGTTGCTCTAACGACAGTCTAGGTGCCTGTTCAAATAGCTCTTGTCTCTCAGAACATCTAGGAGCTTTCTGTCCCAGCTGGTTTTGAAATTAATTCAAGAAATGCTTTTCAACCAGTTTCCATTCTCTAACAATTTCTCCTTCTTCACTGGTTATCGACCATATTCTATTCCTCATCATTTGCTGTTTGATCTTGGAATGAAAAAATTGGCTGTTAGGGTCCCCTCTTTAATCCAGTCCTCCTTCACTTTTTGCCTCGTGAAGCTATCAAATGTCACATATTTGCTAATGTAGCATTGCCGGGCTTCTCTTTCTACTAGGTGCAGTTGTTCCTCATTAGGGTTCAATGAAGCCACTTGATGTGCTTTTTCAAGTGCCATTAGGGCTTCCTGCACTTGTACTTGGATGCTAGAGAATTTATTCTTTTTCAGCATTAGTAACACTTTTTTCAGCATTTTCATCTTTTTTGCCACCTGAAACATCTTTGTCCCCCTGATTCTTCTTTTCCATATTCCTTCTACCCTTACAAGGAAGGTAGGATCCATTTTCCACATGTTGAAGTATTTGAAGGGCATCTTCTTATACTGTATCTCCAATTCTATCTGTACACGTAAAGGGGAGTGATCCAAGATCCCAGCTTGTAGCACAGTACAAACAGAATGATTAAATTGATCCACCCACAGTCCCTTCACCAAACTCCTATCCAATTTAGCATATATACAATCATTTCCCAGTTGCTTGTTGCACCAGGTGAACAGGTTGCCCTGCTGCCTCAGATCTTGCAAGCCACTAGCATCTAAACACAAGCTGAATGCCTTAGTTTCCATAAATGTCACCTTCTGCCCTCCAAGTTTTTCTTCTTGCTTTAAAACATTATTAAAATCCCCACATACAATCCAAGCCATATTGACTGACTGACTGATGTATTCAAGTTTTTCCCATAACTTAACTCTTTCCTTCTCTTTATTGCTTACATATATCCCTGTTAAAAGGTATTTCCAATCCAGCTCTTCTATCCCTCACCTGACATTGTATTAGCTGATTGGTATAGTCCATGGTTTGTAGTTCCACAGTCTTATCCCATAAGACCATCATTCTACTCTTTTTGTTATGTTCACCATTTATTTTACTATTATTCCCCACTGCTGGTTCATTCCTTTAATCACCTCAGTTACTTTATCCTGATTCATCTTGATCTCCACCACACATGCTACGTTCACCTTATTTGCAACAAGGACTCGGTTGAGTTCCCTCTACTTTATTGGGGCATTAAGGCCCATGATATTCCAGGAGTGGGTATTACTCATGGATATCAGGGCCAGGTTCAACATCCTTATGCAAGCTTTCTATCCCCT